CTAGGATGGTTGTGAACATTGGCTGTTCTTATGTCATTGAGTACTTGTGGTGTACATGAGTTCTGTAGAGAGAAATTTAAGTTAGTTTAGTCCTTCTCATGTCCTTCTTCAGTTCTCGTCAATATGATATATTGCTCAGTGAAATATTGTTGTTCAAATAGTTCCATTCCCGGAGTTATTTTATACTCTATTATGAAATCCATTAAAACACCAAACCACCCCGCTTATCATTGAAGTAAACTTTGACTCCTAGAAGTATGAGTTCGCTGACTGTACAATTCTTGGTGATTTGGCATACATAAGCTATTCATGTTTATTTATTTATCTATGTGTTTAAAGTGTAGATCTGGCGTTTAAAGTGTAGATCTGGTGTTTAAAGTGGATATCTGGTATAGAAAGTGTATATTTGGCGTTTAAAGTGTATATCTGATGTTTAAAGTGTAGATCTGGCGTATAAATGTATATATGGTGTTTTAAGTGTATATCTGATGTATAAAGTGTATATCTGGTGTATAAAGTGTATTAATGTTCTTGGAGCGTGAAGAAAATATTCCTTTTTATCTGATATTTACTTTTCTCTAATTTCACTTCTTGGGCAAATTCTTTTTCAAATCTTTCAACGAAGAAGAATAAAAATAAAAACTTATTTATTTAATAATTTCCATTTCTTTGGTAGAAATACTAGTTTAGAGAACTGGAGAACAATCTGGAATTTCTGGGAATTTTGCCTCGAAATTCCAAGTTTACAAAATAAGAAAAACAGTTTTTATTTCTGTCAGGAACTCAGTATATACATTTTCTTGCTTTACACAAGATTTTGAAAGTGTATATCTGGTGTTTAAAGTGTATATCTGGTCTTTAAAGTGTATATCTGGTGTTTGAAGTGTATATCTGGTCTTTAAAGTGTATATCTGGTGTTTGAAGTGTATATCGGGTGTTTAAATTGTATATCTGGTGTTTAAAGCGTAGATCTGGTGTAGAAAGTGTATTGGTGCTGAAAGTGTATATCTGGTGTTTAAATTTTATATCTGGCGTTTAAAGTGTAGATCTGGTGTTTAAAGTGTAGATATGGTGTTTAAAGTGTATATCTGGTGTTTAAAGTGTATATCTGGTGTAGAAAGTGTATTGGTGTTTAAAGTGTAGATCTGGTGTTTAAAGTGTAGATATGGTGTTTAAAGTGTATATCTGGTGTTTAAAGTGTAGATCTGGCGTTTAAAGTGTATATCTGGTGTTTAAAGTGTATATCTGGTGTAGAAAGTGTATATTTGGTGTTTAAAGTGTATATATGGTGTTTAAAGTCTAGATCTGGTACTTAGAGTATATATCTGGTGTTTAAAGTGTAGATCTGGTGTTTAAAGTGTATATCTGGTGTTTAAAGTGTAGATCTGGCGTTTCAAGTGTATATTTGGTGTTTAAAGTGTATATCTGGTGTAGAAAGTGTATTGGTATTTAAAGTGTATATCTGGTGTTTAAAGTGAATATCTTGTGTTTAAAGTGTAGATCTGGTGTTTAAAGTGTATATCTGGTGTTTAAAATGTACATCTGGTGTTTAAAGTCTAGATCTGGTACTTAGAGTATATATCTGGTGTTTAAACATAGATCAAGATAGATTGCGCATAAGACGACATTTTTCATAACACAGAGACACAAGCCTAGCTATCAACAAGCTATATATATCGATCCAAAAAAATGGGGACGATCCAGTGCTCTAAATGCCACACAGAGACACAAGCCTAGCTATCAATAAGCTATCTATATTGATCCCAAATAATGGGGACGATCCAGTGTTCTAAATGCTACACAGGGACACTAGCCTAGCTATCAATTAGCTATCTATATCGATCCCAAATAATGGGGACGATCCAGTGCTCTAAATGCTACACCGGGACACAAGCCTAGCTATCAACAAGCTATATATCGATCCCAAATTAACGGGGACGATCCAACCTGTTTAAACAGGGTTTCAGGATTACAAGTTATGCGCTGCTATTTAAATATTTTTTATTGCTTTTGTCTCTTTTTATCCAATGAACGTTAAAACAGTTGAACCCATCAGGCCCTTTAGTTTATGGTTGATCAATTTTTTTTTATTCTCCAAAAAAAATCAAATTTATCTTTTTAAATGTGACTTCAATTTCATTTGTTTTTTCCCTTTTAATGCAAAAAACGTCGAAACAGTTGAACCAATCAGGTCCGTCAGTTTATGGTCGGTCAAAATTTTGGAAAAATTTCGAATTTATCTTTTTCAAAAATCCACCAGAAAATCAGCAAAATCTTATATTTTTATGCTTTTGTTTATGAAGAAAACATGCTTGCCGTAAAAGAAAATTTAAAAGCTATGAAATAACAAGAAAAACTTTCATCTGAATATAAATGATGTAGATATCTTCGGTTCTCTCTTAGCAAACTTAATAAGATTTGTTACTAAGTTCTAAGGGTTTTATCATGATTCATGAATCTTCAATAGCTTCCTTCAATAAAAAATTATAGTAAATATGTAGTCAATCCCTTTAAAATATGAGTCCCGAAGAAAAATTTATGAAATTGTATAGTGAAGATAATTTTAAAGCCCATAAAAGTTAATCCCTGAAACTCGCAAGGTTGCACTTTAATCTAGTCTCGAATCAAACGCCTTTAGCAGGTCCAAACTCAGGAGTTAAGAAGAAAATAACTCTTACATCGAACAAGTAAAAATGGATATTTATTCTTTTAAGGATGGAAACTTTTAGTTCAGATAGAATTAAGTTCCATGAATTTATCTCAATGAGCGAGCAGACACTTTGAATATTTCATTCATTTAATCTACGTCAAAATTAAACTCTTCACGGTAAGAAAATCAGTTAGAGTTGGGTCGGTCAAATAGGCCTAGGATTAGGCCGGGTACTGTAAACAGTCTGAATGCGCCATGGGAGAACGTCATTGTAAGCCCTCCGACGGGACTATGCCAAGAAAATTGACCCCTGTCGTAAGTTAGTCTGGTTAGGGCGACGTACTGCACAGAATATGGAACCAGGCTACCATAGAATCGGGTCAGTACACGCTGTTATCTGGCAGGCCGGTACAAACTGGGCGGGTCCTGTTCGAATTCCAATTTACTACGGCCCAGAGTGCAGTTCGATTTATCAGAATCGATTTAATTAGTTCCGTCCCTTGAAGCTTTGATTAAGTTAAACATGAATATATTAAATATTTTTTATAAGTTAAAGAACCTGATTTATTTGAGGCCATTTCAGACACAAAATTCATTTTAAACCTTGCATAGGGCACAGTGCCCGATTATAGTTAAAAATTCCTAAAACGTTTCTCCTTTAAACTTTCAAGTCATTCCAAGAATTTAGTTGGTTTTTATTTTTGTTTTTCTAATATTATTACAAAGTCCAGACTGATCGAGGGGTTTCTCAAAATTAAACCAGATTCAGGGAATCATGAAACCATTATTTGAGTTTGCAAAGCAATTAAAGCTTAAAAACTATAAATAAAAGCTTTTATGATATGGGACTTTAAAAAAACAGAACTTGTTAACTTTTTGAAAAACGTACCTATTTTGTTTGTACTGAAGTATTGATACGTTTTATTGTGACTGTGAATCATTAAATAAAAGTCCTTTAAACTGTTGACTAACAGTGTGCTAAATAAAAGTAATTTTTATGAAAGAAATATAAGAAAATAATATTAATAACAATGTTTCTTTTTAATTAATACATGTTTTTGAATTTAATAATAGGTCAGAGGTGTTAAGTTAGTTTACTTTGTATTCAAATAATCAATAAATTGGTCTCACATAATTAATAATCGTGTATAATAATACTATAATTCAAATAGTATATATTTAAACCGACAATACCTGGGCGCCGCGTAACTAGATGGTTTTTAATTGCGGGGTCGGGGGTTGGGGTTGGCATTTAGAACGCTTCACGCCCATTTTCTATTTCAACCTTTAAGTGTAGCTCTTTCTGTGAGCATCTTCTCTTTGAACAATATAAAACAAAACAAACAAAAAAGTTCGCAGATTTATTGATATTTTTTCATGGATTTTCAAAATTTTACAAAAATTCAAAATTTTTTGGAGACAACTTTTTGAATTTCTGAGTATCCTTAAACCTGTCCTGTGGTCATGAGCGGTACCACACAAAATTTGGGCCCGATCGGTTCAGCCGTTTGACGTTTTTTGGGACAAACAAACACCCAGACAGACAAGCAATATTTATATATGGATTAAAGAAATAAGAATAGAGAAATTAAAGAACCTTGTAAAACAAAAATGAATTCAAAAATATTCTAGAAGAAGTTGAGTGTATTGAGCATAAAACTGTATAAAGAAAGAAAGGCTGAATAATTAATGTAAGAAAAATGGCCGGTTTACCTCAGAATACAACTAAACAAAAAAATGATATTTTTAAAGTAATGACTGGAAAATAAGAAATTGCACCAGAGAGCTAGGAAAGTTTACTTTTTCATAGATCTTTATAATAAAGTGCCCAAAGTGGCTCTAAGCTTATATAATTTTATTCTTATGTTTACAGGGGGGGTTTGGGCCTTAACATTTTTAGAAGGGGATGAATCATTTTGTGCACTGTACCGTTTAGCCGTCATCAGTCATGTAAACTGCAGTACAGTCTTAAAGTCTGTACAGTACTTCGAGTGATCCGTAGTTATAAGCTGGAAGGGGGGAGTGTGGATGGGAAATGTGGGCAGTATAGGGGAAATTGGGGGGATGAGGTAAAAGAAGGGGGTGGGGGTATATATAATATAAGTTTAATCAGCAATATTGAAAATAAGTTTAGAAAGTTTAATTATAAATATTAGGTTGGGGTTGGATTATCCTTCTTTGCTTTAACTCAAGAAAAATATCTTAACACTTTTTACTCAGCTTAAAGGGAACGTATGCGAAAAGTTTAAAGGGAGTGTAGAATAATCTATAATCAATGCGGAACTAGATAAATCTATAAGTATGTTATGGCTGTATTAAAAGCAATCAAAGAAAGTATAATGGATATTATGGACATATTTTATATGTATAAAAAAATAAACCCACTCAACAGATCAAAGAAATAATTTGGAGAGAGAAATTGTATACCAAACATCTCAATTAGTAATGACCAGGGAGTAAGACGTAAAAGGACCCTAATTAGGATGATTAGGATGAATTATCGTCGGACATATTAGGATGATGGATTGATTTTCAACCGACGAGGAGGCAACGGATCTTACTTATTCCGAACTTTTAAGTGTTGGTTCCTGAAATAGACAGGATCAAAAGCAGAGTTTATTTTTTTATACCATTTAGATAATTCAAAGGTATTTATTGCGTACGAAAACACAACTTTTAAAAAAAATTAATAATTTTGATTATTCACCGAAAGGCGCAGCCTGAGGTGAATAATCAAAAATAACTTAAGTTCGTTGGCTCTAGGTCGGTTTACATAGCATCAAATAATTAAAGAGAATCACATTTATCAGAAAAACATTTAACTAAAGGTCTAAACCAATGGTTTTAATCAAAGGGTAAAGTAATCATTGGATTCTTTATAACGATCATCGATAAAAACAATTCGGTTCGTTTAGAAGTTTTGTACAGTAATACCAGAAAACTAAGGAAAATGAATTTTATCTTAGTTCTTCCCTTTTATTAAGAAGTGTCGCTACTCGCTATCAAGGTGCTAATACAAGGAAAGTTAAATGCATCAGTGTTCGTCTAGTATCCAAGGAGCATAAAATCATTTAATTTTGATAATTTTGAAAATTCACATATTAGTTTTCTATTACCAGAATATTTCATAGATTATTTTTGTGAAAATTGATTTAATGTCAGGCTGTGACATCCGTCTTGTGTTTACTTTTCCGCCCAAAGACAGTACACTGCAGCACAAAAAATGCGTATTGTGTACACCTCTGAAATAACTTTTCTTGCATTAGTACCTTGCCCGCTATACGGTCATATTTTGTAAATGTTGCAAATGATATATATTTCAAAATTGTGAATAAAAGATTGTATTTTTATAAGTGATTATAAATCGCCCTTTACAAGCCCCACACATTTTATTTAAATGAGCTCTTCCTTGCTGGAAAATCTTTGACTGTCTGAAACGGTTCGCGGCATTTTCATAACATTTTTTTGGGTCGGCGTTTTTATCTCTAAATAATTGCATAGACATAAGAAATAGTGCCGCCATGTTTATGCTTGGGTCATGATAAAATCATTAAATTCAGACCATATGGAGTTATTTCAATATATTTACTCTCGACTAGAACTGATTTTAATGATAAAGGAATTGCGCCTTTGTCCCTAACTCTGATTTTCTATTTCCTATATCTTTGCAACCCCATGTCGTTGACCTTAAATATATTTCAAACTCTAAATTCTGTTAGATCATATAATCTATATTTAAAATATCAAAAAAACATTCGAGTTTGCGGCAAAGACTTAATTCCTTTATGCTATCGGTTTTAAATTAAGACACTGTACAATTACATGATGTACTTTCAATGACCATTCATTTGTAAAGTGGAATGTTTGATTCACATCGGGTACCATGTGACGTCTATCGCGCAGAATTTACGGTGTACATGCAGTACACTCAAGCTACCGACGCTTATTTTTTCAGTTAGAAAAAAAGGAGAACTGCATCGCCCCGGATCCGACAAAGCTTTAAAGGGTACTTTTGAAAATCGACCAAGCATATGTATTTGTAATCGTTGTGATCTTTCCAGGCTACATTTGTTGCATAAAACGTGGTGGGTCGACTCTTACGCTGGGAAGTCAAGACTGGACAGTACGAGAGAATGATAATACAGTACATGTTGTACCGGCACAGATCATGCAACTTTTATAGTGAAGTGCCTTACCTTGCCGTCCGCAGGCTTGATAACGGTCGTATCAGCATAGATCTTGGGACTTTGATTAGGCACAAGCTTGAGGTGGCAGGCTTTGCAGTACAAGCTCTCACCATGGGTTCTAGATAAACATTCAAAAATAAAAAGAGTCTCGTTTTTTTACTGAAATAGTTCGAGACAACTGCCTGATTTAAAAATTAAAATGTCCACTATTAATTACAATATTAACCCTTTTGATTTGATAAAATTGAAAGCTGGACTCGAAAAAAAAAAAAAAAGTACAGTGATAACTATAAAACAATGGAATGGAAAGACGACATTATGACAATAAATGTAATTGATGTTGTTAAAAAGCTAATAGTTTTACTAGACAGTTATAAATTCATTAATTTATTGAATTGGGTCTGTTTGTGTTTACTCTGCACAATTGCTGTGTAGTTCGCTCAATAGACTTTTCAAAGTTATAACTTGATTCTAAAAGTAGCCTTACGATTACAGAGTTTTCTGGGGATTACACCAATTAAATCAAAATTTAAAATTCCAAAAGTGTTATGTGCTACATTTTTTCTTTTTTCTTTATTATTCTTTTCCCCCTCTTTTAAAAGATCTCTCCATATTGAATACATATTATTAGTCTTTTTCTGTTTTGTGTTGTTATTAATGAACAATATTTTTTGTAATAAATGATGATAGATTCTAATTATTTACAAAAACAAAAACATTTTCAAAATAAACATAAGATTATTTATCCATTCGATCATTCTTACATCCTATAATATTTGTATCCAGATATACATTTTTCACCCATTCTTTCATTCTTTCATCCTTACATCCTTACATCCTTTCATTCTATAATTCTTGAATATACTAAAGATTGCATCTGTAACATGAAACACTGTGTAAATAAATCAAATGTTTTTAGAAAAATGTTGCGTTTTCACTGATATATATAAAGATGAGCAAGTATGAACATTTTATCACAGATATAACAACTAGGGATGTGTCTGTTTACCCTTTTGAAATCGGCTCAAGAGGATATATCTCACCATTAAATAAAGCAAATCTAAAGAAACTGCATAAGTTCTGCAAACCCAGTAGTTTCAAAGCAATGTGCTAAAATCTATCAAGCCTTGCAGTACTGTCATCATACCACATTTTTAGAAAACGAAAAACACTAGACTGGGACCAAGAAACTCCGTTTCTGAAAACCACCTCTGAATAGCTAAACTATACTCATGCTAAAAGTCTTGCATTGCACCTGTTTTTTTGGCAAACCCTGTCAATTATAAAATATGATATCCAGAGAAAAGAGTATTAGTTTGTAAACTTTTATATTGTTTAATGCAATTTTGCTTTAGACAAATATAAATGATGAATAATAACAGCCATGCACTTATTCAGCTATTCAGCTGTATTTTCAATATACATATGCAAATCCATTTTAGATATGTTTGTTTTTATTTTTGATAATTTTTGTTTGTATCAATTTCATTCATTTCTTTATTTGACTATTTATCCAAACTTACAATATGTATATGTATAATTTATTTCCATATATTTTTATCCATTTTTACTTTTTTTCAAACATTTTTGATAACAAAAACTAATAGTACCTGACACTAGTGGAATCAAGCTTTTTGGTACAGGTTGTACACTTGAAGCAACGTTTATGGAACCTTCTTCCACCTGATCAAATACAGTATTTTTATTATGACCCAACTAGAAAGATGAGTCAGCTGCCAACCCCTAACTAGAAAAATGGGTCAGCTGCCATCCCCTGGCTTCATCAAAGGGGGGGGGGTGGCAACCCCCTCAAAAAATCATGCACTTTAATAAAATATTTCAAAAAAAGAATCACGTTATTTAACAAATATAATTGAATTGAATTTATAAATATTTATAAATCATGAAACAATTAAATTGAGCTATGTTGGGAACTTTTGTATGGGATAGTCATAATTCCAATTGTTCGATCCCGATATTCACAGTGGGCAGGTTTAATTTGAGGATTAATGTTTAATCTGTTAATTTCAGTTATCCCTTCAGGATTCCGAATAAAGTTTAAATTAATCTGTAGATTAACAAAGGATCGAGATTAATCATTGATCTCGATATTCACAATACAAGAGTTCCCAGCTCTGATTACATTGAGCTGACTGTAATTGATTGATAATATTGGGCTTATAATATCTTTCTGATAATTTTGAGCTAATTTTTTTGGCTGATTGAATTGAGCTGATTAAATTGAGTTGAAAGAATTGAGCTGATTAAAAGTGACCTGCTGGGAATCCTTCAGCATCATATACTGTCTGCTGACACTTCGGACACTTCTCTTGCTCTAGCTGTTCCGGCATCTTACCTAAACATTCAATATGTATAATATAATATAACAGAATGTACAATATGTACAGTATGTACAATATGTACAGTATGTACAATATGTAAACTATGTACAATTTGTACAGTATGTACTCTTTGTAAAGTATGTACACTATGTACATTATGTAAAATATGTTTATACAATATGTACAATATGTACAATTCAATATGTTTTGCATATTTGCATGTTTATTTTTAAAAATTATTCTATATTGAAACGTGGTTTTCAATACCCAATGTATATTTTATAAGTTCCAGACTCTTGTAATATATGTCTAAGAATATACTGATGTTGCAGAGTCGGAGATAAGATTAGATATCGGATAGAAAAAGAGGAATTAACCAGGTTCAGAGAATTGATATATAAATATTTATAGAGCTGTAGATATAAACATGCTATCCTTGACGATAAGTTTAAATAAACTTAAATAAATGAATCTACAGTGAGACCCATAAAACTGTGGAATAGGAAGACGACTGTTAGACTCAATTTATGATTTTGAATAGTCCATTGAATACGAAGCAAAACATTTGTGCAGTGACTTTCAAGCTACTGGCATTTGCTTTTATTTATAACAACATCAAATATAATATTACTGAAAAGTCTTCTTCCTTTGCTCAATTTTACGAGTCTCACTTTACATAAAATACTATTATGCAAAAGATAAAGTTTATGGCTTAAGATTTTGAATAATAATAAAAGTTGAATATTCATTGCGCAGAGCTGATGTCAGCATGTTCAATATCAAACCATTCTATAAGAAAGAAGGGGGGGGGGGGGAGGGAGCATGGAAGAGAAAAAAGTTAAGCAGTTTATTACGGTACATTCGAAAGGTCTAGAGAAAAGTAAGCAACAGTAATCCAAATAGAAGAAGTAAGCCGTTTTAGAAAAGAAATAAGTAAAATACAGCTAAAAAAGTTAAATGTAACGTTATATAGGAAGTAAAATGTATAAATACTGTTATAAATTTTAATTAAAGTTATAGCTGTAAAAGTGTAGTAATAAAACCGGATAATTTTGTATGAGCCGAGTGCCAGGTTTCCTGAATACATATTCGCCCTAATAATCTCAGCAAATGTTGCTAACAGAACAATTTCAGGATGTAAATGTCAGAATATTTTCCACGAGCTTTCACCCCCAACTCCAATAAAAGAGTACAGCAAAGCAAGAAATCCGCGAAAACGTGTTTGAAAAATTCTCAATCTCATTAAAAATGGCGAGAGAGGTACATTCCTACAGCTGGATTAATCTTCGTGTACAAACGGTTTCTCTAAATGAACTTCAAGGAGCTTTTAAGATTTTCATGTACAAGCCTTCCAGGGTTTCTCAAGGCATTATAATAAAAAGCAACAGTGGAAAAATAAACTCCGGAACGTTTGTTGCTCTCATGGGACCGTCTGGGTGCGGGAAAACATCTTTTTTAAACGCTCTGGCATTCCGACCTCAGCCCGGAGTCAAAGTATTGGGGAAATGTTTTTTTGATGATAAAGAAGTGAGTAAATACACGGCAAAGTACGTCTGTTCATACATTCCGCAGGTAAAACTTTTCGAGAAATTAGTTTCAGTAAAATTATTTTCAACGTTCAGAATTAAAAACATTACTACAAAAAACCTTTTTATAGGACGATCTTTTCTTTGAAAATTTGACCGTTGGTGAGCACCTAACCTTTCAAGCTGGTCTCCGACTTTCTAGTAATCAGTCACAGCGCAACAGGTTTTTTTTCTACGAATTTATTTATACTTTTTTCGAAATTTATACCATGCTAAATCATTAATGCAAAGTTAATGAGATACTGTAAACTAAATATACTGTTTTGCGTGATGTAATAATAGAGTGTGCTAATATTCTGTAATGTAGTAATTGCCATGTAATTGTTATGATTAAACCTTAGAGTTTCCAGGGGGAATTAATTGAGAAATTAACCAAATCACGCAACGATATAATAACATTTTAGAACACATAATTATGACTTTTTACTTTTCAAAAACAATTCTCTCGAAACACACAGGAATTGAGAGAATCTGTGTTAAGAAATGTTTAAGTAAAAAGCATTATAGAACTTGCATTTTGGGAAAAGATTATAATTATATTACGAAAAGAAACAGAATAAAGATAAAAGTATTTTTTTTGGTGTTTTACATGGTCAAACGGTTGAGATTTATGACTCTTATATTGCACATTTTTAAACTTTGTCTTTTAAACTATCGAAGCTAAGAACATTCCCATGGTTCTTCAAAGTTCCCAAATCAAAATGAGGCAAATCGGTCAATGGGTTAATTCACGTGTTATTATCGGACAAACAGACAGAAAGACAAACATAAATTACTACTTTAAAGAAGACTGGTTTGCGAAGCCAGCTTTGCCTGGAAGCTTTACTTCTTCGTTGCATGTAAACCAACTGAATTTAGAATTTTAGAACTAATTCAATAACATTACTTAAAGGCAAAGGAATTGAGTTTTTGCCACAACCTCAAGTTTTTTAATTTCTATAACTCTGCAACCAGTGGGTATAAACCTTTGATATTTCAAACTTAGATTATTTGATCTAACAGAAGGAATAGTTTGAAATATCTAAGGTCTACGACATTGGTTTGCCAAGATATAGGGATAAGAATATTTGAGTTTGTGGCAAAAACTCAGTTCCTTTGAGGCAAATTAAGGGGTTCGTAAATTATGCTTTGACATACAAACAAACAGACACCTTAAAAATAGAAGATGCGATAAATGCCCTTTTAATTAAAAAAATTTGATAGTTTTAAACAAGAAGTTTAAACAAGATACAGGGGTTATCAGAAAACTGTGAAATCATGGCCATCTTCATTTTTCTTTAATTAAAATTTGAAAAGATCGTTAAATTTGTGATTGCTATAATTTATACGTAACTTCACATGTTAATGAGTACAACAAAATCGTCCGAGATATATTTTATTAAAAAGAAAGAAAAAAGACGACAATAATTTCACATCATTCTGGAAACCATTGAATGTATGAAAAATTTAATATTTAAGAGATGATGCAGTTGATCAGATGCTTACTTTACTCAACCTTCATCATATCAAAAACAACAGGAAAATATAGCTTTTGGATTTAAAATTTAAGGGACTGTATTCGTTCTTTTAATTGACCCTCTATGCAATGCGGCAATGCTCCATTCACAATGGTACTATTGAAACCTTTATCTAATTTTTAGTCGGTTTTCTAGGCTTAAAATGTTTAATTCTGATAATTTCTATATGTTTTCCTGCGGTTTAAATGTGCAAGTGACTTTTGAAGAGAAACCACAATTGAAAACAATGAGTTTTCAAAACTATAAAGAGGGATTTGTAATTCCTCAGCTCTAGGGTACCGTTGTTAATTGGGCATTGCTATCGTTGTGTCAAGGGTCACTTGAAATTACGCCTACAGTCCCTTTAAACATGTTTTTAGGTGAATGTGTTGGTTTATCAAATTCAATCAGCAGTTTTACTTTTGCATTGTAGATATATTGTAAATATGAAACTAAGCTAGAATTTTGAATTTATTAGGATTGGGAATACGTTGTCAAGTGGGAACGGGATCTCTAAGGTAGAGATACTGTTTGCAGCTCCCTTATTTTTATAATAATTTTTTGATTTATTTTATCAAATTTTTTCAAGTTTTCAGACCAAAATTTGATCTAAAATTTAATACGTTTGAATGAGAAAATAGATTATTCGAATATATTCAAACTGGAATTATTTATTATGTACATATTTTTTCTTTCTGAATTTAATTTTATAAAAAATCAATTTTTCAACAAGGTGCAAGGAAGCATTATGTATCTCAGCATTATGCTGCATTTTTACTTTTCAAAATTGGTTCACATTAAAAATTCAAAACCAAGAATTTCTAGAAAAAGTGTATTATTGTCTTCTATTTATAATGATATATTAATTAGGGAGAAAGGAAGAGAATTGCCTTTGCTGCAGAAATGCTCTCTGACCTTCCAGTCATCCTTGTGGATGAACCAACTTCTGGACTTGGTAAACAGAATACAATATTATTAAATAGATCCATCAGTTTTAACAATGATACATTACAGATTCTCATATGGCCAGCGTAGTTGTAAAACTTCTGTATGATGTTTCAAGACTTGGAAAGATTGTGATTGCTTCCTTACATCAACCTTCATCACAGCTCTTCAAGTTCTTTGATAAGATATTCCTGCTCTCTGATGGTGTCAAGGTTCTCTACGGTACAAGACAACAAGCACTGGAGTTATTTTCTCAATCTGGATTCCCAGTTCCTGAAAACTATAATCCTGTAGACTGGTTTATTCTAAACACAAAGATATCCTATGGGAGGAGTAGAGAACATGAAGATAGAAGGAAGGTTATGTATTTCGCGGATATGTGGCATCTTTACTTTCATGAAGAGATTCCAATTCAACCAGCTGCTGTTCTTAAACTTAGACAAGCTCGGGCACAAGTAGGCATTCAGTTCAAGATTATTATACAGAGACTTTTCCTAACTTACTGGAGACAATACATGGGAGGAAGCACTGCTCTTATTCTAACCTTGTTCGGACTCTATCTAGGAGTTATCTTCTATAACCAGGCGGACAATGTGAACCAGAACAATATCAGAAGTGTTGAGAGTGTAATGGGAGTTCAGGTTCTTGTCTCGAGTCTCATATTTCTCTCTACTCCTAAGAAGTTCCAGGCAACTAAACCAGTTGTTGTCAGAGAGATTCATTCAGGACTGTACTATACCATTGTTTACAAGTTCTGTATCTACCTAGTGGAGGTTCTACTACTAGTTATACAGACTGTTCCTGGATACGGAATCATGTATTGGATGGTGGGGCTGAATCCTTTACCATTACGGTTCATTTGGAGTTTATACCTTAGTGTTAACCTCAACTGGATTATGTTGGGACTGGGTCATCTCCTGTCTAATCTACTGAATTCAGATAAACTATACGTGGATTTATCTTTACAGATAGGCCTTGTACTCAGTCTATTCTCAGGTCTCATCATTAACCTTCAGCAACTTCCAACTTTCCTCTATCCTTTCAGGTCATTATCATTTACATCATATTTATATTCATAAAACTGCTTTCTTAAATAAAAATCTAATTATTCTATTTCCAGGCTTGCGTCACCCATGTTCTACGGTTACCAGAACATGCGTATGGCCCAGTGGTTAGGTATGGGAGCAATACCCTGCCATGAGGATAAACTCCAGGATACATGTTTTATCAATGGAATGGAGTATCTCAGAGAGAGTGTTGAGTTGGAAGATATTTCTATGGAGAACCATATAATCATGACATTTGTTGGAGTTATCTTTAGACTGATTGCTGTTATTGTTTTCCTTTTTAAGAATCATTGAACAGCTCTTTTATTATTTGTAAATAAAATTGCTAAGCCTGAACCTGTTTATGTTTGTTAAAATAAAATATCTGATGAACTATTTAGCCTTTTAATTTTTTAAACTTATGTTTTAAACTTGTCCTACCTTAGGAGTAGTGCTGGGTTAGATGCCCTACACATACTGGCCTAAATAGGCACCTTAAACTAAACCTAAAATTCCCCTTGAAGGGCCCTACAGATTTATTTTCATCAAGGATTCTTAGCAATTATATTGAAACAACATTATATCACAAATGTGATTTATCTTGTTGATAACAATAAAGCAAAATATAGAAGTTTTGTAATCAAGTTTATTTAAATATATTGAATTTGACCTAAGGTCCCTAAAAGGCCCAGAATGATTAATGGACCAATGCCAAGAAAGAAAGACAGGACTCAATAGTCCTGACCAATGAGAAGCAAGACCTTCCATGTAAGGACCTTGCTGCCGAGCTGACCAGCTCGAAATATTTCAAGGATTTCTCACCCTACGTAATCTATCCATAAAAAATATAAATCTTCAAAATATAATATTTCCAAATTAGCTTATCAACCCCAACCAAATGTAACCTGCAAGTAAAACCCCAGCTTTTATCTATATAATCTATTTAAAACTCTTAAAAATTTAGCCTATCAAAAAGTAAAATTTTACTATGATAAATTCCAAAATTTTATTATTTTTACTTTTTGAGATTTATTTATATTTACCCCTCCCCCTAATAGTGAATCTATTGAAAAGATTGGCGAATGCATATTATTTACATATCCCTTCTCAATTTTTAGTAATTTGAAAAAACCCACATATTTGTGGTTTGTATGACTTCATTCCTAATTTCCTTTATAAGCCGGAAATATCCTTTATAAGCCGGAAGAATATCACGATTAAAATCTTAAAACTATAAAACATAAAACGGAAAAAGTTTATCGTCGAAAGAGGAAGAAACGAGAAAAAGATTTATAGTTTTATTTAATTAGAAAAGTTAAAATAGAAATATTTTCTCCCCTGTTGAATAAAATAGAATTTAAATGAACTGAGTGAGGTATTCTGTTTCCGCATGGAAAGATAAAATAGTGAAAGGGAAAACAAAAATCCCAGGAAATGGTTTTTTTGCTACAAACTCTGATTTTCTAATCTCTAAATCTTTGCAACCCAACATCGTATACCTAGCTTTGTCGTGTAAAACTATAAATTCTGTTATATTAAATAGTCTAAATTTGAAATAATTAAGGTTTAAACCTTCAGGTAGAAAAGAAATTGGGATTAGAAAATTTAAGTTTGTGGCAAAAACTCAATTCCTTTTAGATATTCATGATGTCCAGAGGTCGGTTCTTTAGCATGGAGTATTGTTAGTCTTGAATGATGCCTGATCTCGATATACAATGTGGGATATTTTAAATTTGAAGATAAATACTTGAATCTATAATTTCATCCGTGCAGGATACAACCACCACTGGATATCGAAAAGGAATTAAATTAATTCGCAGGTCTGCATAAGATGGAGATAAATTATTGATCCAATGTGAACAATATTAAATTAAAGAAAAAATGGTTGATGTCGATATTCAATGTGAGCATTATTAAATTCAAGAATAAATGCTTAATCCCTCAAGTTAAAGTTATCCCTGCAGGAGAAGGAATTATTTAATCCGTAGATCTACTTAACATTGAGATCAATGTTTGATTACGAGATTCAAAACACAAAAGTTTTGTCTTTAGGACAGCTAATGCTGACTTCTCTTTATAGATACACTAGCTTGGGAACCCAGCGTTGCCTAGGGTACTCATGTTACTCCCACCCGCCGTTTACTCGCATTTGGTCGTAAATTACGATTTTAACTATTTTTCCGGAGGACCCACTCAACTTGAAAACTAACAACAAGCTGAGAACATTCCCGTGGTTCTCAACTTTTCCTGCGTTCCCCAATCAAAATTTGAAGCAAATCGGCCAAGGGGTTGATAAATTATGATCATGGATGGTTAAAACACCAATATTTTAAAAATAAAATCATAATTTCTCCCGTTTAGCTATTATTTTAAAGGAAAGTTTATTTTATCTAATTTATCCTAAGTACATATAGACTGCAAGATATGCATTGAAAGAGAAAACGAAAAAAACTTTCCAATAATTGTATTTGATTTTATCAGCATTTAAAAATAGCTAAAAATCTACGATTTTTGGTTTGAATTCAGTGCAATGTTTTTTTCACTTTATTTTACATAGTTTAAAAAAACAGCATTGATTTTACAATTTTAAAGCTTTTAAAGACTTTAAAGGAGTACTTGGCAAAATTCTTAAAAAATGTGCTCTCCGGAATGTGAACCTTTTAGTTCATAGTTAATTTGCATCATTAAAATCTCGTCAGCTATCAATATTTACCAGGACACTAGCTTGTTATCGATCAATTCCAAACCAATGTCTACACGGACACTAGCACTCAATCGATCAATGCCAAACCAATAGGCGCCATCATCTATCAATGTCTACACGGACACAAGTACTAAATTGATCAGTGGGCACAATCAGCTATCAATGTCCTCCACAAACACAAACACGTAATCGATCAAACCAATGGCCACGATCAGCTATCAATGTCTCTCCACGGACACAAGCACTTAATCGATCAAACCAATGGGCACGATCAGCTATCATTGTCCTCCACGGAAGCTCGTAACTATCAATGCCAAACTGCAAGGTACGATCCTCTACCTGTTTATCAAGATGAAGCCTTAAACTCCAGCCCCTCCCGTTGGTACAGTCTGGTTAAAAAGATAGGCTTGCAAGATGTTAAATCTGATTCCATCAATGTAGAATGTCTTAATGATATTCTTGACGAAGATGCAGCAGACTGTGTTGCTGAACACTTTGCCAGGATATCTCAAGAATATGAACCATTAAATAGAAATATTCTCCCATCCTTCCTTNTTGGTATGAACCTAAAAGACCTAGTTAGAGTTTACATTGCGTATATACGCAGGATTCTTGAGTACTGTTGTGTAGTATGGAGTTCCTCTTTAACCATAGCACAGGGTGAGGCCCTAGAAAGGGTTCAGAAGGTGTCCCTAAAAGTTATTCTAGGCCCAGTATATGTTAATTATCAATCTGCTCTATCAGTTCTGGAACTAGAAACCTTAAGGATTAGGAGAGAGAAACTTTGTTTATCCTTTGCTAAAAAATGTCTAAAATCTCAAAGGCATTCTGCCCTATTCCCGGTAGAACCAGTCACTCACAACCACCAGCTACGGAACGTTGAACTATTTACTGTCAACTATGCTAGAACGGAGAAATACAGAAAATCTGCTATTCCCTATATGCAGAGAAAATTAAACTTCCTATGATATAACCTTATCTTAATCTGTGATAAAACCCATGATATATTCAATTATATTCTTATGAGAATGTTAATCATATTATAATATGTATTATGATCTTGATTTATCTCTAATAAATCTTACTTACTTACTTACCTATCAAGACAGGGAATGATTACTCTCTCGAAGTAAGCAGTACGGAGTCTCTCATCTAATGTATTTGAGGTTTATATATTACAAGTTAAAGTTAACAGACGTAATTACAATTCCTAGGTTGTTATCTATATCACATGATTAAGACAATTTTGTGACGGATTTACAGTACAGTTAAAATAGGCGCAATTAAGATGATTATATATCACATGATTAAGCGAAGTTCAAATGAATAATGGGTTTCACGTAGAAATTTACAAACATAGATAGATGTACAATGTAGTTCGGGTTTACTGCAACATATCGAGTTTCCCGATATTTATTAAAAACAGACACAAGTCACTTTCGTAGAGAAATTACAATCGAAAATAATTATTTTTCAAATTATAAACAGGAATATACGATATATTCATACTAGATCAAAAAAATATTTTAAAGGTACCATTGCGACTCGGAAATTGCAATTCTCAGAGCCATGGACTAAGAGAATAGAATATATATTAGAGTAGAATTTACTAGAAAAAAGTGTAAAACGACCATTTTGTTGTACTGTATCCATACTGCAGGTGTATTTCACATATTTGTGCTATATAACCTTTTGGGCCCTGGAACATCATTTTCATAGAAAATCTAAAATTAATATTAAAAGAAAACCAAATTATGAAACTGGTTTCATAATTGACCAATGATCATTTCACATAGACTCTATGCCTTTCACTTTACAAACTATGACTCCCCATTATAACTATAAATCAAATGATGTTTTTTATTCACCTAATTCATTTTATAAAGTTTATTTAACAGCTTTAAAAAATTCGAAATTGAAATGGATAGTCTAGGGAACATACTGTATTGGTGTACTCTACTGCATATCATTTGTGAACATTTACATGATTTGTACACTTTGAACTCCCTTTCAGGCTGAAAGGAAGTTACATTATATCAGGGGCGGCTTTATTTTCAAGGTGGGGAAATAATTGAATCATTGATTTCCCCCCTGGAATTAATTACAGGGAATTTGGTCAATTTTATGTCAAAACCATGACCACCTGGGTAGAAGGTTGGAAATGTGTCAGCTAGATTTGGAGTTGTAAGTAAGTAATTATTTATGAAAAATAACAAAAACACACAAAATAAAGTGTTTCAAGAGAAAATATTATATTTAATATAAATTGGTGGTGGACTAATAGTATTTTTCGACGATAAACTAACAACTTTTAGAAATAAAAATGATAGATTTATTTGTAATGTTAAAATAAAAAAATTAAAATAGGCTTTATGGGTTGTGAAAAAGATATAGCATGTGTTAGAATTAAAACATTTGTTCTGCTGATAAAACTTCGAAATAAGATTAATATTTGAAAGCTTAGAAATGTGTCGTTTATTTTCATACCATATTTTAGGGAAATTTATGAGAAAGCATTCCAATTTTAATAGATTTTACTCTAGGAGCATAAAAATCATTTCTGTTTCTAAGATTTGCGTTTTGATATATTTTGATAATATGAAATCTTTTTTAAATGTTGGGGGTAATTGGTCTCCCTTAAATTGAAATACAAATTTAATAACATTAAAAATTCCTAATTTTCTGAAATAAAGGGGATTATTTTTAAAGCCCAAAAAGCTTCCGCTGTGTGACATATTCTAGGTAACCCCATCAATAGACGAATAGTTTTCTTTTGCAATGATTCTATCTT